ATTAGAAGTAAGGGTGTGCAGTAGTGTGATCAGTGTACAGATATGATATAGCCAAAGATATATCACAGTCAACAATGTCATATAATCCTATTTTATAAGGCAGTAGTATGCAAGAGTAATCTACAGATTACTTAATAAAATTGAAATCACTATACAATTATGCTCACACACAGTAAGCAACAGAGAGTTTTGAGAAATATACCTCCAGCGAAGAACAATTCAAAACACAGTAATATCAACTCCTGAACAGATCAATTCCAGTATTAGTATAACCAAGAAATCAATACAGAATTAAAGAATCTATTATATTATAGTATCTACACAATTGCAAAAAAAAAAAAGGTTTTTAAAAAAACTTTTGAGAAGAATTTGATTTCTTGAATCGAAGCCCTAATCCCCTAAGATTCTAGGGTTCTCACAAGGATCCCTAGACAAAGGTAGAGTTAGAGGAGATTCTTGAAACCCTAATTTTAAAGAAAAACATGATTCCAGAATCTTTTTAAAAAAAAAATATCAGTTGTATATACTGTGATACTTGACAGTAAAGATAAATGACTCGTGTACACTGCAAATGGCAAACTCGGCGTGACTCGGTGTGACTCAACCTAACTCACTAAACTCAGTGTGAGTTGAACCGATTTACAAGAACTCAGTGTACAAACAACAAATCAAAAACGGGTCACAAACGAGTAATGAAATTTAACAACAAATATTTTCAAGATCCACAGTCTCAACTAACCAAAGAAAAAATTCTCAAACTGTAAAACCCCCCAAAAAAAATTAATGTAGATCTGAAAAAAAAATAACACAAATCGACAGGCAAATTTCCCCTACGCTCTGATACCACTGTAGGTCCCAAAAGGAGTTTGTAGTGTCGAATTACAAGTAAAAACAGATAAAGAAAACAGCAGAAAATCAAGAATCAACACAAGATTTTTCGGCCCTGAGGTTCGGCGACCACTTCTAACGCCTAGTCCCCATTGAGCATCCGTAAGGAATACGCTCAAATCCACTAAGAACGTCCAAAAATAGGCAAAAAACGAGTTACAAGTATACAGCCCAAAAACTGCAGAAAATTTCTCAACTCTTCATCAACACACATGAACTCACTCAAGAGTTCATCAAAATACTCTCCTATCTCTCAATAATTCACACAAGAAAATTTGAGAAAAATTACAGAGAGTAAAAAATGTAAAAGAAAGGGAAGAAGACAAGTCACTCGTACTGCCTGGAGAGAGAATGAAAAGTCTAATAACCTAACCCTTGAAAAAGTCTACCAATTAATTGCAAAAATAGTCCTCACACTTTCTAAATTTTTCAACTTCTGGAGACTTCTTCTTGCTGTACATTAATTGGGCCAAAGTCAATATTTGGGCCAGACAAAATGGATTAATAAGTGGGCTCCAAAACAGCAAACATTTTCCAACAAGTACTTAATGAGTTTACAAGTATCCATGCTTCTTAGGCCATACTCATCCATTTATGTGGGTTTATCTAAATGAAAAGATCTCCTACTTGCATATTGTTGGAATAGTGTTGCTCTATTCATCTCTAAAATTGTCAACCATTGAGCTTATAATACAATCTAATGAAAAGTGGGCCAGGCCACTGGGAGAACTAGACAAGAACGCAAGGCAGGCATAGAAACATCAATCAAAGCAAGTTAAAGATGTAAAGAGATTAGCATAACTTGTTTGTATTTTGATAGATCGGGTCAAGAAGGGATAATCCCTTAAAAATACATAATAAATCTCTCATTGTCTAAAGTATAATCGTAATTGTCACTATTTATACAGCATCACAACCTGCTATCAAACTAGCATAGTGCCTGTATATGAGTATTTCCTTCACTCTCATATCATTTGTTCCTACAACTACTAGTACTATTTTTGATGCATAATCATAATAACAAATAACTTGTGGTCATATTAGCTTGGCAACTAAAGAAATTGATAATTTTCCTCTTATTCAATTGTCACGAGGTAGAGAGGGATTCAGGATTGCTCTGATACCATAAAGAAATTGATAATTTTCCTCTTATTCAATAATGGAGAAATCATACAAAATAAATAGAAAAGAGAAGATAATCTCAGCTTCTAATTATGAGATGTGATAAAATCTTTCTAAACTAATTCCTCTAAGTATGGAAAATAACTAATTTAAGAAAACTAGGAATTTGGGTAACAACCCTCCCAACTACTTATTGAAGGAAACAATAATTAGTTAAATCCCTAGAATCTCGTGCCTTAATTACATAAATATTTCTGAATTTCTACAGCAACAGACTAGAAAACATTTATTCTTCACTTTGACATATCAGAACTCATGTGAGAGCTTGTCCTATACGGATTAATACAATGAGGAAGTGGGGATCGTCAATCACCTAGTTATGTACTATCCAGGCAGTGTTGCCAAAGGAAGTGAATAACTTATGGTCATTTCTGAAACAATTTTAAGCATCAGCAGCATGTGTACGAGATAATTAATGGTGGATTCTCTTGAAATGTTGATATACACAATAAAAAAAAAAAAAATTGTAGCAGAGTTCGTCCATTGATTGTATTAGTTTAGAAGAATTACTAAATAAAGCTGATATAGTTTTACAAAACAATACTTCCTAAAAGGTCAGTACCTCGATTCTTCATATTTTTACTCCCCGTAATTTAAAGAGAAGAGGTAGTGGTTTTGCCTGTTTGTTGTTCTGCAATGTATAATGACATTGGATCACTAGAGACAAGTGTGTTATTGGCAAGAATTTGGGTGAATGGATTTGCTCCAAGGATTGGATATCATGCTATATAATAGCTAGCACTGATCCTTAAACAATTCCTATTACTCGGAAGTCTTACACCTGCAGTGAGATGATCAAAATCATTTAGACTGTAAGAGCAAATGCTTATTATAGCCTATGTTAGGTTGTTTTGTGCTCTCTCTCTCTCTCTCTCTCTGAGCGTGAGAAAAAGCATGTGTACGAATGTTTGATTGTGCATATATTTTTGTTGTCTAAGCTATAAGAAAGTACGGTGTTCACGTTTATGATTGGATGTGAGCCAACAATATATATTATCTCTGTTGTCTATTTTGTAAAATTTCACTGTATAACTGATACATTTTCTTTCCTGTGTGTATGGCAGATAGAGTTGGAAGACGCCAACTGCTTGCCTTGGGAGTAACCATTGCTCCATGGTTATTGTTGCCACACCAGACTTCAGCGTCTTGTATGTTATCATTGCCCGAATTTTGTTGGATTTTGATCATGCGTTGCTAAACTTTTACAGTCCATCTTTCTTTCTTCTTCTTTTTTCCCTTCTTTTTTCTGTAACTTTTCTCTAAGAACTGAAAAACTTTAGTACCCATGCACAAAACTGACTGTTCTCTTATTCTGCATCTCTCTTTATTACTGTCATTGTTTTTTTCATTTTTCCCGGTAGATAAGATGGATCTTTAGAGCATTCAAACATGACATTCAATTGTTTATTCATTTGATTCCTGGGAAACCAATAGCTGATATGCTAAGAGTATACTGTTGATATGTATCAGTTGCTGCAGAAACAAAAAAGGGATTTCTATCCGTCACAGATAAGAAGGATGGATATACTTTTGTTTACCCATTTGGTTGGCAGGTTTGTCCTGTAACCTTTTCTTCACTTTGGAATTGTTTTTCTTAGTTTATTTCGCAAATTAGCCATATTAATTCTATCAAGTCACAAGTTATATAACCCTTCTTCAATTTCAACTGTTTATGGACCAGGAGGTAGTCATTGAAGGAGAAGACAAGGTCTTCAAAGATGTTATTGAACCTCTAGAGAGTGTCAGTGTAAATATGATCCAAACCAGCAAACAAGATATTCGTGATTTTGGTTCCCCACAGGAGGTTGGCAAAATACTCACAGAAAAACTGCATTATGTGATATTTTTTTCTTACTATTTCGTTTATGTATCTTTTTGGCTTTCTCGATTCTATTGTTTCTTGGTTATAGGTTGCTGAAACTTTGATAAAAAAGGTCTTGGCTTCTCCTTTGCAAAAAACAAAGCTGGTTCAAGCATCAGAGGTAAGAATTTTTAGGTTTTCTTTGGTTGGATAGAGTATATAATTTGAGTAAGCAGTGGACTGTTTTACTACAATTTGATAAATAAAAGGAGAACTCAACATCTTTCATTGCAAAAGAAATTTTCAGTGGTTAAATGATTTTGATGTTTCATTCTCTTGATTTTATCTTCCTCAAATGCTGCTATTAGGTTTTGACGGGTTGGAAGTTGATTGTATTGTTATTTGATGATCCTTGATAGTTTCATCGCCACATTTCTCACCTTCAATCCTTGCGCCTGTCTCTACGTTTTGCCGTCAAACAAACTAAGAGCATGTGTGGCCAAGCTTAAAAATAAGTGAAGTAGCTTTTTCTTTCCAAATAGATTTGGTTACTTACATTTTTATTGCTTTTAATTTAAAAAAATACTTTTTTTTGAAAGAAATCTTACCTAAAGTAACTTATTTCCAATATTAGTCAATGAAAGATCAAGTCAATGAAAAGATCACTTATTTTAAATCATACTTAGAGCATGTTTGGCAAAGCTTAAATCGTAATTTATACTAGTCAAGCATACTTATTATCCCCACATTTCGTAGAACAACTCCACATCTTATAAGCACTTATTTACTTCGAGGTAAACTCCTTAAGTGTAGTCAAACATGCTTTAAAGATAATTCCCCCGAGTGATAATATGGTAATTATCAATGACAAAGCTTTTTGTATCAGTTAGTTTAACTTTCATAACCAAACTACTGAAAAGCAGAAACTTTCTTCCAGCCCCTCGCAAATCTGTTCTATGTTTATTCATTATTAATAAAACATCGTTGCCACCTTTTGTTTGGAAGAACATTTGATTTCTACTGGAATGACCGTGCATCAGCGAAACAAAGCAGACATCTTTCCACAAGATATGTTTGATACAGAGGACTAGGCGGAATATAACAGCACAATAGACCATATTTTTTCTTTATTAATTCTGTCTTATACTGTGTAATCCACTTTATGGAACATGCCATGTATCAAAAATTACTTGTCAGATGTTTGTTAGCTGTTGCATTACATTTCAAAATGCCAATTGCAATTCATCATTAAAGGATTTCATGTTGAACATAGATTATTTACAAAGTATATTCACGTGCTTGTATGGACGTGTATGTACTTAATGAGGATTATTCTCTGAATCTTACAGCACGATGTCGATGGAAAAGCATATTTCGTGATTGAATTCATTGCACAAGCTCCAAACTACACTCGCCATGCTCTTAGTGCAATCTGTATTGGCAATGGTATTAATCTCGCTTTTGGTCTGGATGATATTTCACGTGCTTTGGCTATTCCATAAAGTAAAAGGTCTTTGAAATGCTCATTAGATTCGAAGTAAAAGAGGACTGTCATTTTCTTCACATTTCATTACAGTTAATAGAGCATTTTCTCAACCTGCTCTATGTGGTAAATGAGTTATTGTTGATTCTTCCTTAGATCCAAACAAAATAATGTAGTAAAAGAAGAGGTGGTATGTTTGGCATGTTGAATTGGATGGTACTGGAGTAAGAATGAAAAGTAAAGTTAAAATAATCTTGTCTTCTATACTATGGGTGTGTCTGAGCCACATTATTTTGAAATAATGTATTTTGGAATAGTAGATTGATGGAGAACGAGTGGTTGAAAGAGAAGGAAAATTTATTGATGTGATGGAAAATATTATTTGATTGAAGAATGTGTGGTTGAAAATGATTAGAAGAATGAGAAGAAAATTTTAATGTGGTTCAAATAGGGGCTATGTGTTACTATCTAATACTGTGCACCAAATAAATCGTGAATTTTATGATGAAAAACTCGGGGATAAAAATTGTGAATTATGGCCAGGAGTATTATTACTGCTTTAATTATGACTATGTTTCAGAGCACCTGCATTAATACTGATAAATAGGCTGTCATTTTTTTTGGTATTTTTCAGCAGAGAATTCCTGTGAGCTGTCTGTGTTTCAGTGCCATTCTAGGGATTTTTGTTTCTTTTCATTTTCTAAATATATATTGCTATATTAAAAATAAAATAAAATTCTTGATTTGATTTTGAACTTTTTAGTAATGATAAGGTGAAGAAAACAGTTTGCACAGATTTTGCTTACCGTCTCCATTCTTCCTTTACGAAGTCCAAGAACCGAAGGGTCATTATGATCAATAAATAACCTAATGGCTATGTGCCTATTACTATGTGCCTTTGTTCTCGTGCTCTATGGGCTTCAGTTGAGTCTCTTTTGGAGTATGATTTTAAATTATAACTCATAGCATGTCTCGAGATGATTGTTAATCATATTTATCTTCTTCCACTATTCTGAATCGTGTCAAGAATACCGATTAAATGCTAATTTACTGTGGAACATTTTTACAGACCACTAGTTCTCTCGTATGCATTCTTGATTACTCGTGTGATTGAAATGACTTCTATGTCTCCTCCACCCCCAGTTCTCGTAATTGTGTGGATTAGGCAGGGATGACTGGATGGTATTGGACGGTATAATGAAGAAAAATAAGCCAATATCTTGCTAATTGTACTGTCGAGTCCTATACAATATACTGCATACTGAACGTGCACTATATGTTTAACTCAGAGTTAAATGTGGTTTTGCAGGAAAGTTCTATACTTTGACAACAGGAGCCAATGAGAGGAGATGGGAGAAAATGAAAGATAGATTGAAAACTGTGGTTGATTCCTTCCAAATCTTCAATGTCTGATAAAAGTCCACCATTTCTTGTTCTTCAAAGTTGCTTATATGGTCATTAATTTACTGTTTCGTAGTCAATTATCTCACTATAGAGGTTGTACAATCAATGTAGATACGAGCAATTTTATCTCAAGAAGTTGAATCTCAGCATGTGTACTGTACACAGAATTTTCACAATCAATTACTGCAATATTCCACTTTATGCAATAAAGTTTGAATGATTTTTTATGTTTTCAAAATTCACAAAAGAAAAAAAAAAAAAAAAATCAAGATATTATAAATGCCATGAGTTTAGTGTCGGTATGCAAACAGAGCCTCCAAAATATGAGGGATAATGAGTGTGATTTTTTTTGGATGAAGTCATTTCTTTTTGTCAAATAAAAAAAAAAAAAAAAGGGAACTCGTGAGATTTGGTGGAAAAATAGCTTGTCAATGGGCTACTTTGACATAAGTTTGAGTGAGATCCGTTCCTTCGATTTGGAAGATCAAAGTAGATTTGTGTTCTTCTACATGAGAATTTTGAAATCATATCTATACTATCGAGAAATGATAATTGGATGAATGAGAATTGAAGTTCAAAGTGCATCAATTAGAAGAAGTTTATATGTTGAAGGAAAAATAATTGAAATTTGTCCCACATAAAAAATGGACAAAGCAATGACTAGTTTATATGTGGCAACATTTTTCGTATGTGTAATTATGTGGAGTATAGATGCTCTTTTAACGTGCTTGTGCAATGAGGTACAAATCACGAATCGGATTAGTACCTCGGACCATTGAATTTGTGTGTAAGAGCGACATGCGTTTTCAAACCGAAATTGGTTCCTTAGTAGGGTCTACCTTTTATCGTATTTTTTAATTTTCCCTAATGCCTTTCCGAGTTCTGCAACTCCTGAAACTCTAATGGTTGAAGTCATTGTTAGTAGGTTGTAAATGTCGTTTAATGGATGAAATTATTCTCCATTCATGAGCATATAACAGATCTTGAAATTTTCTTTCTTTGACACGAATTTTCTATCTCATTCTGCATATACATTTTCCAATTTTCTGTTGGCCGATATTTTCAGTTTATGTCCAAAATCTTGGTGATTGTGTACATATACAAATTTAGTTCGTTGGTATAGAAACATAGTGCTCAGTTTCTACCGATTTTTCTGTTGTATATTGGGAGACGGATGCTCAACGAAACCTCAAGCAATGACGATGAGGAGGCTAATTTGTTTTAAGGACACTATATTTATATAGGCCTCGGTTCCTATTCCTTTATTGGATTTAGTGGTCAATTTTTATTTTTTTTTGCACTTGCATATTGTTTCTGTTTGTCTTTAAATATATGTTATATTCTGCAATTTTTTACTAACATATTGGACATTGAAAGTGGGAGGTGGACAACTTGATCTAATTCTTAAGTTGTATATTGTGATTGAGCATGAACTCTTGATCTAATTTTCTTCAAATGTTAAATGGAAATATAGAGCTGAAAGAGGGGTTGGCTCGTATGCTACACTGTATTGCCTATGTTATGGCTTCTCGAGCATACACTTATCTTAGCTCAACTTAAGGTCTTCTAACTCGAAAATGCATGGTTGATAGCTTCTCTCTCTCAGACTTGGTCAATTCATTGGATAGGAGTGACATAATAATGTGTCACGTCAAGTAATGAATTAATAAGCATCAATGATATTAATATAATTAAGTAAAAAATATATGATCAAATCACTTAGGCTATACATCAACACAATTGGGGTTGTGATGCAGTCATTAGGATCTCAAATCACAGTGTTTTAAGCAGCACATCATGATGATCTTGTGGGACGCTGGCATATATTTTTTGGCTGCTGGCTGCAATGGATACAACTGGGAATCAATTATTTTTTCATCAGTGGAAGCATGCCATAAACTTTGGTATATATGCATGCAATCATGATCTTCGACTACATTTCTCTTTGTAGTCGGTCTCAATCCTGAATAAAGGATGAGGGTTAAAATAATTCGACAATCAACTTAAATATTCAACACTTCGATGAAATGAATCTATTAAATTTTGTTGAAATGGTCTAATAACAACGTACCACATCAAATCTCAAATTTCATGTAATTGATCTCGAATTTACTGAGAATATTAGAATTAATTTGTTGTAGTTGCATCTATTCGTGCCTAACATTAAGGGAAGAACAGGGTGGAGGGGTATTTTCGAGGAGCCTACTAAGAATCTAGACATAATTTTGGGGGCAAAACATCATTTGATTTCCAATGCTTTCATTTAGAACATATGCTCTAGCATCCCTACAACAAAAGTTAGCTAGCATTTTCCCTGTGTGTTATAATACCAAGTTGAAGCTAGCAAGCATAAAAAATTAAAGTATCATAATCACAAGCATGATTGTGAAATCAACATCACTGTCCTAATCATTTGTAATCTTCATCAACAATCTACTTCTTTAGCCCATATTCTTTATCAGTCCTTTGTAGAACCCTTCTGTCCTTTTTGTAAGATGAACTTTGCACATGTAGGGGATGTTTGGTATAATGTATTCGACTGTTGTGTATAGAATAGTACACGATTATAGTTTCTTTTCACTTCTAAAAAATGTACAGTATTGTCTAATTCATCTTATCAAACACGTCGATTTATAAGAATAATCTAGTCTTGTATATCTAATAATGTGTACCAAACATGAGATTATTGTATATGCTGTCGATATAGTGGATGTTTGGTTTCTGGTATCAAAAAATAAACAAAATTTTGACGTAATATTCACTTCTCAATATTGGAAAGTCTACGTTACTGGACATATCGACTTGTATTGTCCAATCTTGTCTAATAATGTATAACAAACATGAGATCATTGCATATGCTTAGCATATAGTGGATTTTCATATAACGTATTAGATTATACTATGATAAAACAAATAAGATTTGAACTTCTTTTCCCTTCTTAATATTGCATAGTACCCAACTAAAAATGTTGTATACAAGATGTGTGACCTTTTGGATATGCTTTTGTGCAGTGGGTATATATGATTCATAAGGCTCTTCAAAAGGCTCTGAACCTTTTTAAGATTGTTTATGTGCAAGCTGTGGCAAAATTTAGGGTGTAATGATGGCAGCCGCCTACTCCATGATCACTATTATGCTTGTCACCTTCACATATTTATAATTTATTATATATGTGAATATATATTTTGTGAAATCTTTGATTGGAATCCTTTTGTGTAATTCTGATTCTCAGATACAAGTTTAGGTACTAACAACTTTATTCTATTTAGAGAGAGAGAGAGAGAGAGAGATTTTCTGTAAAAAAAAATAAACTTTGCATGAACCCTCAAATAAATTATTCATGCCAACTCGTATCAATCTCGATATTGATTCGAAAAAAATAAATAAGTTAAAGGTTGAAGAATCGAATCAAAGTCGAAAAGGAGGTCAATTTCAAATATTAATTCACTCTAAAGGATGACATATTTGATATATATGCAACGTCGACACAACTCAACATTACAACGAACAAGATTGTAGTATTCTTTTTCTTGCTTTATACTTTCCCATATTGCACAACCCACTGTAAAACTCTGTGCTCATTTGTTTGGTTTCAATGCGTAGTCTAAATATGTAACCATTTAAAATGTTTGGTTATAAAGAGTTTAAATTATATATAGATAGAAATGTGTAGTAGATAAAAATATAGTATTTGTGGGTCCCTCGAAACGAATGGATAAAATGTGAATTGAGTGTTTATTAACGAGCTATTTTACTAAATTCTTATTTACATTTTTGTAAGTTTAAATTTCATTCGCATCATAAATCCTTAATTTGAATTTATTTTTTGCTATTTCTTATATGAGAATTCGGAGTTATTAGCCACAAGCTTATAGATAGGGTAAATCAGTGGCAAATCTTGGAATTTATAAAGGGGGGGAAGAAGTATAGTACAAAATTTAAAATCCTATTGGTCTTCATTGGAATAATCTCTCTTTTTGGTCCATTTTATTACATTCCTTTGCCAATTCAATGGAATATAAAAGATGCCCATTAAATGATTGTTAGTTCTTTTGGAAGTTTTTTCAATTATTTATTTTTTGTTTTTTTTTGTGAAATGGAAGGAGCCACGCTACGATCATGTGCCTGTTAAGAATTAGTTGATGTCTCGTAAAGAACCCCGTGATCTTATTTATCTTGTTTTGCTTATACAAGAAAAACTCGTGAATGCACAACTTGTGGCTATGAATGAAAATAATATTGGATTCTCATTCTTTAACTTTCTAATTTGATTCCTCTCAATGGAAAGTATGTTTGTCGAATAGTTACCTCTAGTTTTAAAAGAGAATCTATAAAATGGCTTGATATATTTGTTAGCATTACTAGTCTTGCTCACATGAATTAGGGTTATTTTTAAAATTTGGAGTCTATCATTATCTAGCTCTTGTGTGAAATTGATACTTTGGGAAGTGATTTTTTAAAGAATGTGTGATTAAAAGGTAAGAAAAAATTATATAGAAATGTAAAAAAAATGATTTTTTTAGACTGTATGGCTAAAATGAGTGTGAAAAAAAATAATTTAAGAAAAAAGTTTCAAAAAGGGGCTTAATTTATTCCATTCTAATTCAGTACACAAGACTTATCAATATTTATCAAATATGTTTCTAAATAATGTTAATTTTAGGATGATAAATACACATCCTTGTTTATGTTATAAAATTAAAGGAACAAAAGAGAAATATAAAGAATAAAAAGAGAGAAAAGTAGAAAGTCAAAACTTCAGTACGTATTTTATTGATAATCAAGATCCGTATTTATAGGGTTTTAAATGAGAGCTACAATTAGAAGGAAATAAGCTCTCTATACCAGATAAAACTTATTTATGCATGATGATAAGACTACATAATCAACAATATTTATCTTATGATTTTACAACTCCTCATTAGATGATTATTTGCACAATAACTATCTCATTGAAACATTATTTGGCAAAAATTCAACCGGAAAAATATCAACAAATAAAAAAGAG